CCTGGGCCCCCTGAGCAGAAGACTGGGATTCCTACAGTAACTTCTACTTCTTACGCATATAGAGGGAAGCCCAGTATTTTGTACCAACAAGAGTTGCCAGACAGTCATCTCATTGAACAGGTTCAGAAAGTTTCAGCTGCCCCTGTATTCGCTGAGCAGAAGACTGGGATATCAACAGTCCCCTCTACTTCTTATTCACATAGAGAGAAGCCCAGTATTTTGTACCAACAAGAGTTGCCAGATAGTCATCTAACTAAAGAGGCTCAGAGGGTTCCAGGTACTCCTGGACTAGGTCACCAGAAGACTGGGGTACCAATAGCCCCCCCTGCTTTCTTCTCACATAGAGGGAAGACCAGTTTTTCCTATCAGCAGGAGTTGCCAGACAGTCACCTAAAGGATCAGACTCAGAAGATTTCAGCTATTCTTGGACCAGTTGACCCGGACACTGGACTGCAGACAGTACCCTCTAGTTCCTACGCACATCGGGAGAAGCCCATTATTTTTTACCAGCAGAAGTTGCCAGACAGTCATCTAACTGAAGAGGCTCTGAAAGATTCAGCTGTTGCTGGACCAGCTGACCAGAAGACTGGAACATCAGAATCTTCTAGGTCCTACTCACATAGAGAAAAATCCAGTATTTTCTACCAACAAGAGTTGCCAGACAGTCATCCTACTGAAGAGGCTCTGAAAGTTTCAGGTATTTCTGAAACAGGTGACCAGAAGACTGGGATACCTACAGTAACCTCTACTTCCTACTCACATAAAGAGAAGCCCATTATTTTCTACCATCAGGCCTTGCCAGACAGTCAGCTAACTGTAGAGGCTCTGAAAGTTTCAGGTGTTCCTGGACCAGCTGACCAGAAGACTGGGATGTCTACAATACCATCTAGTTCCTCTTCATATAGAGAGAAGCCCATCATTTCTTATCAGCAAGAGTTCCCAGATCTTACTCAAGTGGCTTTAAAAGTTTTAGAGGTTCCTGGACCAGCTGACCAGAAGATTGGGATTCCAGCAGTAACCTCCACTTACTCACGTGGAGAAAAGCCCATCATTTCTTATGAGCAAGAGTTGCCAGATTCTAATAAAGATGCTTTAGAACTTCTAGGGGTTCCTGGACAAGCAGACCAGAACACTGGTATGCAAACTGTGCCCCCTACTTCCTATTCACATAGAGAGAGCCCCGTGTTTTCTTACCAGAAGGAGTTGCCAGATATTACTGAAGAAACTTTGAAAGTTTCAGCTGTTCCTGGACCATCTGACCAGAAGACTGGGATACGAACAAGCCCCTCTAGTTCTTACTCATATAGAGAGAAGCCTGATGGTTTTTACCAGCAGGAGCTGCCAAATCTTACTGAAGAAGCTTTGAAAGTTTTTGCTCTCCCTGGACCAGCTGACCAGAACACTGAGATACCAACAGGACCTTCTAGTTCTTTCTCACATAAAGAGAAACTCAAGATTTCAACTGTGATTTTACCAGATGACCAGAAGACTGAGTTACCGTTAGCTCCAACGAGTTCCTACTCACATAGAGAGAAGCCCAAGACTTCAGCTGTGATTGGGCTGGACAGCAAGAAGACTCCATTACTGACAGTTTTTTGTAATTCTTATTCTCAGAGAGTAAAGCCCAGTATTTTCTTCCGACAGCAGTTGCCAGACAGACATCAGAGTGAAGATATCCTGAAGATTTCACCTGTCCCTGAACCAACTGATGTGAATCCTGGAATAGCAATACCTCTTTCTAGTTCCTATTCACACAGAGAGAAATCTGATATTTTCTACCCACAGGAATTGCCAGACCAACATCAAACTGAAGATACGTTAAAGGTTTCAACAGTTCCTGGACCAGCTGACCAAAAAATTGTGTTACCATCAGTTCCTCCTAGTTCCTTTTCACACAGGGAGAAACCAGTTATATTCTACCAACAGGATTTACCAGAAAGACATCTAACTGAAGATGATCCAAAGTCCTCTAGTAGTCTTGGGCAAGCTGATCAGATTACTGGGTTATTAACAGTTCCCCCTGATAGTTATTCATATAGTGAGAAGCACAAACTTGTTTCAGACCATGTCCAAAGGCTAATAGATAATTTGGAATCTTCTAACTCCAGTGTTATCTCAAGCAATATGCCTTTAAATTCTCAGGCTGATAGTAGAATTGTAATAAATAAGCCAGAATCTTCAGGTTTTGAAGATGCTGGCACCGAAGAAATCCGGGGTATGGACAATGGTTCCAAAACTCTTAAAGAGATTCGGACACTTCTAATGGAAGCAGAAAATATAGCACTGAGACGATATAATTTTCCTGTTCCCCTTGTCCCTTTCAGAGATGTTAGTGATATTTCTTTTATACAATCTAAGAAGGTGGTTTGCTTCAAAGAACCCCCCACAACTGATGAATCTAATGGTGATTTGTCTCACAGACAGCCATTTACAGAAGAAAGCCCAAATAACAAGTGCATGCAGAAGGATATTAGCACACAGACGAATCTGAAATGCCAGAGAGGTATTGAAAATTGGGAGTTTATTAGTTCAACTGCGGTCCGAAGTCCTGTACAGGAAGCAGAAGGCAAAGCCAGAGTGACGTTAGATGAAACTCTTAGGCAATATAAAGCAGCCAAATCTGTAATGAGGTCTGAACCTGAAGGGTATAGTGGAACCATTGGGAATAAAATTGTTATCCCTATGATGACTATCATTAAAAGTGATTCAAGTAGTGATGCCAGTTCCTGCTCATGGGACAGTAATTCCCTAGAGTCAGTTTCTGATGTTCTAAACTTCCTTCCACGTGCTTCACCCAAGACGAGCGTGACAGACAGCAGAGAGGAAGAGGGTGTGTTAGAGAGCGATGATGGTGGTGGTAGCAGTGTAGATTCACTGGCTGCACATGTGAAAAACCTTCTGAAATGTGAATCCTCACTGAACCATGCTAAACAAATACTCAGAAACGCAGAGGAAGAGGAATCTCGGGTACGAGCGCGAGGTAGGAAGTGATGATTTGTTATAGACTCAGGTCAAACTTACATAGTTTAATAATTGGCTTAAAGTTAAGTGTTTGGGGCGCTAAGTCTATTTTCTTGTAGAACTGTTAGAATGATTACATTTTCTACCGTCAATCCAGAATAAACCCAGTTAACCAACAATATAGCTAAGATAGTATTAACAGTGCTAGTTTGAGTTTAAAGAAAAGTGAGTTTAAAGAAAAGTGATGTCTGAAGGAAAGTAAGGGGAGATCACTTGAGTTTCCAAAACAAAATAAGGACACTACAATGTAAAGACTAGGATGTTTTATTTTGGAGGCAATAAAAAACCCTGATTTGCTTTTCTCTGTCACTCTGTATCATAAAATTGTATATACTTTCTCATCCCCTTTTCATTTTAATAAAATTCTTGAAGCAGATCTTAGATAGACATCAGAAAAACTAATCAAGGTATTTCAAACTCATACTTGGTTTAGAGGTTTAAAAAGGAATATTTACTAATTCCATTCATCTCTAATTGCAGAATTCCATTAAAAAAGGGAAAAAAAATTAAGACAACATGGGGCATATATTTTGGAGGGCAACTTTTAAGTAATTCAGGCCTAACTAGAAATCTTCTCTTGAGATTAACTTCCTACACCATGCCTTCTCTCATTTATGCATATTTTGATTCTCCAAAGAACTCAGGTTTTATTATTTTAAAGTATTAGCTGTTAGAATTGGTGGTAACTATAGTAGGAGCTGATAGGTGGACTATTTTGATTGGAAGGAAGATTAAGATAAAAATAGTTGAATATTATATTTAAAGTGGCCTCTTTGGGACACTAATGAATTCATCTACAAAACAGGAAGACTCACAGACATAGTAAACAATTTATGGTTACCGGGGGAAAGGGAATGGGAAGGGATAATTTGGGAGTTTGAGATTTGCAAATGTTAACTACTATATATAAAATAGATTAAAAAATCAAATTTCCTTTGTATAGCATGGAGAACTATATTCAATATCTTGTAATAACTTTCAATGAGAAAATATGAAAACAAATATATGTATGTGTGTATACACACACACATATGCATGACTGGGACATTATGCTGTACACCAGAAATTGACACATTGTGACTGATTATGCTTCAGTTAAAAATAAATAAATAAAGTGGCCTCTTTAGGGAAATGTCTATAGAATATTTTTCTTTAAAAAAAAACTCACTTTTCAGTGAAATTATCTCTTAAGAACTAAGAATTTGTCATAAAATTGAGAGCACACACTTTTTACCAAACACTGTGGTAGGCATTAAATTGGGTATATTGATGATCTTCTATGTTCTTAAAGTCGCTGATACTTTTGTGTTGTATTATCTTGAATATTTTTATGCTTTTTCTCCAGCCTGGAATCTGAAGTTTAATATGGCTCATGACTGTGGCTACTCCATTTCAGAATTAAACGAAGATGACAGGAGAAAAGTAGAAGAGATCAAAGCAAAGTTGTTTGGTCATGGGAGAACAACTGACTTGTCCAAGGTATAAAATAAATCTAGAAATTAAGAGAGATAATGTGGAAGAAAGTGTGTGGGATTAGGATCTCTTACCTGGGCATTGATGACTCCAGCTGAGTTGCTAATAGTTGTTGGCTAAGGTGTTAGGAGTCTTAATTCTTCAAAACTTAATACTTAAGGATTAGATTCTGTAGGTTCTGATTAATTCCAGATTCATCTATTAGAAAAATTGTCTTAGAAAAAAAGTGGGTTTGCTCATTTTGTGTGTTCTTGTCACTTATTTTCTCTTGAGAGTGATATTTTGAGATGCAAATGAACTCCAGCTATTTTTAGATATGTAGTCTCTCCTTAAGAACACATAGCTGTTGTAGGTTATGTGTCAATGACTTTCTTCTTAGTGGGACTTATTTTCCTTCTATTATGAACTATTTCATGCATAGAAAAGAAAATATATGAAACGTATATAAAAAATAAAGAAAAGTAGAAATAATTCCTGTATATTGGCCATCCAGCTTGAGAAATAGAATGTTACCAAGTGTCATTGAATTCCTATGGGTCCTCTTCCCCAGTCGTATCACTCTTACTTCCTATCCTGACATGCATTGGTTTTCTTGCTGCTCAGTAGGGTTTTAAACTCTATAATAGATGTAATAAACATGGTAAATATTTTTCCATGGTCACATAACAGCACTTAAGTTGTCTTTTCTGACTATTAAGCTATTCTGTGCTATTCATTTTCCTTAAAATCAAATTTATAAGTAAATATATAAATTAACCTTTTTAAAAATTGAAGTATGAGTATAACTATGTTAGTCCCAGCTGCACAACATAATGATTTGCTATTTCTGTACATTACAAATGATGACCAAGATAAGTCTAGTTCCCATCTTTCACAATACAGCTATTACCCTAGTATTGACTACATTCCCCCATACTGTACATTTTATCCTTATGACTTATTTACTTTATTACATCTGAATCTCCCTCACATGTTTCATTCTTCCCCACCCTGTATCCTCCTTCCCTCTGGCAACCACCTGTTTCTTTCTGTGTCTATGAGACTGTTTCTGTTTTGTTAGACTTATCCATTTGGTTTGCTTTTTAGATTCCACGTATAAGTGAAATCACACAGTATTTGTCTTTCTCTGTGTGACTTATTTCACATAACATATTACCCTTTAGGTCCACTCACGTTGTTGTAAATCTCAAGATTTCATTCTTTCTTACGGTTGACTAATAGTCCATTGTATATACATATCACATCTTCTTTATCCATTCTTCTATTGATGGACACTGGGCTACTTCCATATATTGATTATTGTAAGTAATGCTGGAGTGAACATAGGGGTGCATATATCTTTTTCAAATTAGTATGTTTCCCTTGGAAGAATACCCATAAGTTAATTGTTGGATCATGTGGTAGTTATATTTTTAATTTTGTGGGGAACTGTTTTCCATAGTGGCCACAGCAACTTAACATTCCCACTAACAGTTTATGACTGTTCCCTCTTCTTCACATCCTTGCCAACACTTGTTATTTGCTGTCTTTTTGATAATAGCCATTCTAAGTGTGAGGTGATAGATGTCAGTGAGGTTTTGATTTGCATTTCTCTGATGATTAGTGATGTTGAGCATCTTTTTATCTGTGTCTTCTCTGCAAAAATATCTATTCAGATCCTCCTATTTTTTAAATCAAGTTTGTTTTTTTGATTTAACTTTTATGAGTTCTTTGTATATTTTGGATATTAACACCTTATCAAATATATCATTTGCCAATATCTTCCATTCAGTAGGCTGCCTATTTTATAAGTGCTTGATCTACTAGCTTTACTGTATGTTTGTCTTTACCGGTGAATTTTTTCCTTTCATAATTTTCGTGTTTCTTCTTGTGGCCTTTTCTTTTCTGCTTAGGGAAGTCCCTTTAAAATTTCTTGTAAACCTCATTTAGTGGTGCTGAACTCTTTTAGCTTTTGCTGACTTGCTGTGTAGAATATTATTTGTTGTAGGTTTTTTCCATTCATCACTGTAAGTATATCATGCCACTCTCTTCTGGTCTGCAAAGTTTCTGCTGAAAAGTAATGGTGTTCTGGGTGTTTCTTTGTACGTAACTGGTTGCCTTTACCTTGCTGTTTTTAAGATTTTCTCTTTATCTTTAAATTTTGCTGTTTTAATTATATTGTATCTTGGAGTAGATATCTTTATGTTTGGTATTGCTTGGGGCTCTGTGCTTTCTGAACCTGGATATGTTTCCTTTCCCAGGTTAGGGAAATTTTCAGCTATTATGTCTTCAAATATGTTCTCTGCCCTTTTCTTTCTCACTTCTCCTTCTTGAACATTTATAAGTGAATGTTAGTACTCTTTTTTTATTCACTTTTCAGTTTTATTAGGTAGAATTGTTACAGTTTGCACATATACAGTGTATTGCACGTAAATACATACATACAGTGTACTGCACATATTTTTTTAAATTTACATGTATGTACTGTTCATTGTTTCTAAGACCGTTTAGAGCTTTAGCTTTTTGAACTACTGTAGTTATCAAAAGAATAAAGCCAACCACAAAATAAGAATCAATTAACAAAGATACATACACCCCACTATTAATAGCAACATTATTTATAACTGCCAAGATGTGGAAGCATCCTAAGTACACGTCAATAGATGAATGGATAAAGAAGACATTGCATATATATACAAAAATACAACTCACCCATAAAGAGAAGGATATTTTGCCATTTGCAGCCGTTCTTTCGCCTTTTGTTTTTTTCACTTCAGAAACCAGAATTTTGTAACTGGCATAAACATTTCCATTGCATGAAAAGCAACAGAATACCTAGAAATAAACTTAACCAAGGAGGTTACCTATACTCTGAAAAGTGTAAAACACAGATGAAGGAAATTGAAGGTGATACAAAGAAATGAAAAGATATCTCGTGCTCTTTGAGAGTTTATCCATTCATCTGCTGAATAGAATTTATCCCTTTGTATGCTGAAGAACATTTTGGTTGCTTCCAAGTTTTGGCAATTATTAATAAATCTACTATAACCCATCCAGATGCAGATGTTTTGGTGGACATACATTTTCAGCTCTGTTGGGTACATATCAAGGAGCACAAATGCTAGATCCAGTGGTAAGGAGTATGCTTAGTTTTGTAAGAAACCGCCAAACCATTTTATAAATGTTCTCTCTGCCATTTTGCATTCCTACCAACAATGAGTCAGACTTTCTGTTGCACCACATCCTTGCCAGCATTTGACATTTTCAGGGTTCTGGATTTTGGCTAGTCTGATAGGTGTGTAGTAGTATCTTTTTGTTGTTTTAATTTGCATTTCCCTCATGACATGATGTCTTTTCATGTATTTATTTTCCTGCTGTACATCTTTTTTGGTGAGGTATCTGTTAATGTCTGTATTCTTATATTGGATTATTTTGTTGTTGTTTACTTTTAAGAGTTCTTTATATATTTCAGATAACAGTTTTTGATCAGATGTGTCTTTTGATCAGATATGTCTCCCAGACATATCTGGGAGTGACTTGACACAGACTTTTCATTCTCTTGACATTGTCTTTCACAGAACAGGAGTTTTTAATTTTAGTGAGTCTAGGTTACCAGTTATTTCTTTCAAGGATTGTCTCTTTGGTCCTGTGTCTTAAAAGTCATCACCATATTCAAGATCATTTAGGTTTTCTCCTATGTTGTTTTCTAGGAGTTTTATAGTTTTGCATTTTACATTTAGGTCTATGATCCATTTTGAATTAATTTTTTGAAGGGTTTAAAATCTGTGTCTAGATTTGTTTTTTCCACATGAATGTGCAATTTTCCAGCAGCATTTGTAGAAAAGACTTTTACTCTTAGTCCATTGTATTACCTTTGTCCCTTTGTCAGAGATCACTTGACTATTTACGTGGGTCTGTTTCTGAACTATGTTCCATTACAGTGATATATTTGTCTGTCATTTTACTAATACTGCACAGTCTTGACTACTGCAGCTTTATAGTAGGCCTTGAAGTCCGGTAGTGTCAGTCCTCCAACTTTGTTCTTCTCATTCAATATTGTGTTGAATATTCGGGCTTTTTACTTTTCCATATAAACTTTGGAATCAGCTTGTCAGTATTCACAAAATAACTTGCTGGAGTTATGATTGGAGTTGCATTGAATCTATACATCAGGTTGAGAGGAACTGAAAATCTTCACAATATTGAGTCTTCCTATCCATAAACGTGGAATATCTCTCCATTTATTTAGTTCTTCTTTGATTTCTTTCATATATTTTATTTTATAGGGTGCTAATATAGATGGTATTGTGTTTTTAATTTTAAATTTCACTTATTTGCTGATATATAGGAAAGCAGTTGACTTGTATATTAATCTTGTATTTGGCAACTTGCTGTAATTGTTTATTAGTTCTTAGAGTTTTTTTGTTGATTCTTTTAGATTTTGTACATAGATGATCATGGCATCTGCAAACACAGACAGTTGTATTTCTTCCTTCTCCAGTTGTATACTTTTTGTTTCCTTTACTTGTCCATTGCATTAGCTAGGAATTCTAGTATGATGTTTAAAAGGAGTGGTGATGTTTAACTCATTCTGATATATGTGGGAGAGCTTTTAGTTTCTTACCATGAAATATGATGTTAGCTGTAGGTTTGTTGTAGATATTCTTTATTAAGGAAGTTTTCCTCTATTCCTAGTTTACTGATAGTTCTATCATGAATAGGTGCTGGATTTTTTTCAAATTCTTTTTTTTTTTGGCATCTATTGATACAATCACGTGATTTTCTTTTTGGGCTTTTGATGTGCTAGATTGCATCAATTGATTTTTGTATGATGAGAACTAGTCTTGCATATGCGGGATAAATCTCACTTGGTCATGGCATATGATTATACTTTGTTGAATTTGATTAGTTAATACTTTATGGAGGATTTTTGTATCTGTATTCAGGAGAAGAGATACTGGTCTATATTCCCGCCCTCTGAAATATCGTTACCTGGTGATTTTATTAGGCTAATGCTGGCTTCATAG